CTTGAAGCAATCATTGCAATAATTCAATGTATTATAACAATAATTATGCGAAACGTAAGAACTTTAGGTCACAATACAGGGGTCTTTAATAGATACTTTCACTTGCAAATAGCAACCTTTGACAAGAAATGCTCAAGAGCTCAAGGAGCAATCATTTGAGTTACGACACCTTTGACAGCCTAATTCACAAATACCCTAGTGATTAGGTCGAGACCTTTGCCAAAGATCTACGCTAATTGTTCTTGCCCAAACCCATGATGAGGGCAAGAGCAAATGAGAACCTAACAATGCTCTCATGCTTCATACAATGACTCAGAAGTGTGTTGCTGGAAGAGAGCATTTTTGTCCCTTAGATTGTCAGTTGTTCGTGGAGGTAAGAACTCTTCTATAAAATCCTGGACCAGTGTGTTACACGTTCGAAAATTTTCTCGTGGTTAGCAGTTTAGCCAGCTCTTAGCTTTCCCCCAAATGGAGAAAGGAAAGAAAAGTAATCAGATTGCGACTGGCTGTACACTTGGATGCTATGCGGAATCACATTGTTGATATGACTTAAATCAGATTATCTGCCATTGACTGGAAGTCAAGGGGGTCTTGCTGCCAGGGAAGCAAATCCAGGGACAGGGTGAAGCGTCCGCTTAGGGGGGCTCGGGGTAGCAAAGTTCCCCCCATGGAGATTCGAGGGCAACTCTCCGAACCATGGTGTATGGGCTTATACACATTTGGGTTTCTCTTCTATGCCTGGTCTATAACCTTATTTTTACCAGATTGTATTAGGGTTATATCATATGGACAAGTACTATATATACTTCTCAATCTCTCTTGAATCTCCTCAAGTATAGTGAAGTTGGCTCTCTCCCGCCTGTGGACTAACTAACAAACGTTGTGTTAGTGAACTATGTAAATATGTGTGTTCTTTACTTTCTTGCTATCGTTTTCTTTCTTGCATTGTCAATTATCCCGATAAGTTCTTGAAATGTGGTATCATAGTCAATGGTTGGCTTCCGTTAGGGTTTTTCAAAAACAAGAATGACTTCATTGAATGAATCACATATGTCACATTATGAAATCGAGTATGATTATAGGCATGTATTGAATTTGAAGCTGTGTACATCCTTTCAGTGTAGGCAATCAAACTTTTCAATATACACAGTGACACAAATTCTCATAATCACGTCATGCTATAACCTAAGATTTGTTGCACTCCATCCTAGCAGTATATGAATTGCTTGATCTTTTTTAGGTTTACTCGTACCATATGTCGTAGAAAATGCCTAACTCGTTAAAACTACTACTCCAATAGTGGCCAAGTGCAACCAAAGACCGGGAAGCAGTATAGTGGAAGTTCACTTTTAATTGTCAATATAGGGTCTCTAACTATCCTATTACTCAGTGACCTATTATCTATCAAACAGGTTGTAATGTTGATTACTAGCACTAAAAAACAAAACAGCTAAATTAATTCGAATTCATATATGAGAGAATCACTTGAGCATGTTTCCCGCTGGTCCTTAATTATGCAGATGTTGTTTACTCCCTAGTTCATTTCACTCGATACTTTTACCGTAGAATGTCCAAAATTAGCTTGGAATCTCGATTAAAGCATACCAAACCCTCTTGAATAGACTATCCGACGGAAGATCATTCTGAACAGAAATAGAATACCAAGGCAATACAACAAAGACTCCCACTACTGGATTGAAACTTGATATAGAGCAGTGAATCAATTCGCTATTCGCACAATTGATTCACTACCACAAATTGAAAGCACTCTATCAACCTAATAAGGTATTCCCTCTCCTAGGTCGAATGTGGTTAAGATTCAAGCAATTTCATGAATAAAACTTCAATTGGATTTATATCGAGTATAACAAACCAAAGATCAAACAACAATCATTCCTAACATACAGGACTAGGGTTCTTCATACCCAAGTGAGAGAAGGGATTACTCCATAGAAAAAGAAAGAGAAAAATAGTGTCAGAGGAATTAATTATTGTGTGGTGAATGAGAATCTGCTCCAAAATTTCGTTCTTCACTCAAAGGGACATAACTTGAGCTTTAATGGTGGAAGGATGGCTGAAATCAACTCCAAGGTATCTCTCTTCGTCACTTTCTGTCTCTAGAACTCTTTGATTTCTTACATCAAAAGTCGAATCCTCCTCCAAGTACCCGAAATTGGCTCTTAAACCTGCAATTAGCATAAACACAGCAAAAAAAGACGACATTGTTTCTGCGATTTCGCTCATGTTTCTATGGGATGCACCGTATCACTTTCACTCGAGGATAGGAAAACCACAGCCAAATGAAGGAATAATATGCTTGTGTTTTTGTCGACTCTGGTCGTGTTGCTTCACTTAAGCTGTGGTACTAGTTATACAAATCAAAAGGGTCGAAACACGGCCAGTGTTTCTTTGGTGATGTGCTCGTGTTCCTTCTTGCTGAAACACAGGCAGGAAACACTTACACGACCCAAAATAGAATAAACATGACCCATCTCTTATGGATGGTTGGTCATGTTTCTTTACTCCAAAAGCAAGGCCAGGGAAGGGGAAAACATGGTCGTGTTTCGCCTTCTGGCTCACTCCCTAAGTCTCGTTTGACCTTCGATTGATCTGAAACTTGCGTCTATACCTTTCTTCACATCCTAGAACTTGAAATATGACAAATGAACACAACCTAGTGTAAAATAGCCCTAGGAATGCCAAAAACTAAGTCAAAAATAAATAACTGGAGTTGCAAACATGTATAAATACACAGTTATCAATGCCAAGTCTGGTAGGCAACGATATTAGGACCCTACAAATGTCTTTTCTGAGGAAGTCAACATAGTTTGATCAATTGAGGATTGATCGTGAGGGAACGTCGTGTCCAGTCTAATCCGCCCACAAGTCAGGGTTGAGGATATGACAATTGAAGTCAGTCCACTTGTTAAGCACGCAATCAAATCAACTATAAACCAAACGAAAGAACAAGTAGAAAGATAAAGGAATTAACTCATCATATATATGCCAAAATCAAAGATTACATAGTCTGGAACCTCTAAGTTTCGCCTACCTACGCAACTAAGGGAACTAGCCGACCATGGGCAAGTTTCAAGGTAACATCAATCAACACGAGATCCCAAAAAAAAACCTCCAAAACGGCAGCCATAATAGAGATTAGGCCATAATTTTGAGACACAAATTGGCGGCCAGAACAGAGAAATTGGGGACTAGGCCGCCAATTTTGGCACTGATTTGGCCTTCGTAGCTAATTTTACTCTAAGTTTGGTGAGTCACTTTGTCGACAAGCAACAGCCCTCTAATGCCTCCTATCACTGCTACCGAACTCCTCCCTCCTTGAATTCTAAATATATACTTTCTAATAGGGTTTTAGGTAGGGGTGGAAATCGGTACGGTATCTGTATCCCAATACTAAATACCAAAATCACGAATACCAAATTATACCTGAAAGTCAATCCCAATCTCAATCCCTAAATAATTTCGGTACCCCAATCCCAATCCCAAAATATTCTGGTATCTCAATCGATACTTCGGTATCCTAATCGGTATTATCGAATACAAAATTAATTATATTTGAAATAAATAATTAAATATATAAATTAGATTTGATTGTTTAATTTAGGGCCAAAAAGACCTCGCAAAGAGTCTTGAGTTTGCCTAGAGATAGGATATGGATAAGGAGAATGAAAGAGAGGTGACATCTCAAGTTCTTGTCATTGGTAATCTTTAATGTGACGAATTAAAAGCTGAGAATCGACTAATACTAGTGTTTGTTTTTTGATGTTATGAAAATAACAAGTTATTAGGTGAGAGATGAGAGTGAATTAAATTGGAAACAAAGATGAAATGATCTATTTATAAGTAAATGACACTCTTGGTGGTTGAAAGTTGTGTAGTAGTGAATGAGAGAGTCTAGTTGAGAGGATAAAATACACACTGACTTATATTTCAGTATTGATCGGTATTTTGGTATATACCGATCCCAATCCCATAATCCCTATACCGAATTCAATTGAAATTCAATCCCAATCTCAATCCCAAGAAATAATACGTGTATTCGGTAATACCAAATATAGACAAATTCGGTACGGTATTTGGTATATCCCAAATACCGGTACCAAACTTTCAGCCCTAGTTTTAGGGGAGAGAGGACGGTCATCTAACACGTCTTTGATTCCAAATCAATATCTTCCAGCTTGTTCACCACGAAAGGTATATCCTCTGAAGATTCTGGTGATTTTGGATGAGTCTCAAAACGGCAGCCCGAGCGTCGTTTTGGTGATTAAGCTGCTAAATCCATAGTCATATTTGGTCCTCTTTTCATTTTTCACTTCTGACTCCTAATAGTCGAGTCTTGATGTTCCCCAACTTGTACAAAGTGGTCGTTAGGTTGCTATGCTCTGAAAATACACACACACACAAAAAATACCACGAGGCAAGAGTGCATCCATTTGATAAAAGCAAGTAGTCTACTAGAATACATTTGAATGTTCACATAGCAAATCCTATATATTAGGACGATAAATGTATGAAGCACGAATTCCTGATATTGTCGCTCGGATAATTTGAACATTAATAATGTTGAGAGACAAATTATAAAAACATTATATGACATTTAGAGCACGAATACCCGATATTGTCGCTTTTAAACTTGAGACCAATAGTTCATCCTCCCACCCTCGTCTTCTCAAAAGAATTGAGTTCATTAGTTTATGTTAGTCAAGAGAAGTCCATCAACACTATGACATGAGACATCTAGCGCATGAATTTCTGATTTCGTGACTTTTGGACCTGGGGACAAAAAAGTTCAGCCGCCCACCTCAACTTCTCAAAAGAATCGAGTTCATTTGTTTACTGAGTTTATATGACTAATCTAGGACATCTGCTATGTCCCTCAATATTATATGACATTTTAGAGCAAAAATTCCTAATTTTGCCGCTTTTGGACTTGAGAACAAAAGTGTGTACAGAATCGTTGCACGGCAGAGGACCATTCAGCCACACCAAAAAATTTAAGCCTATAAGACGGTAAACAAAAGAGAACCAATTCACAATCACTCACAAGCTAAATCAACTAGGTCCACGAATATACCAACAAAGCTTCAAAATTACAGAAAGCTACAACTGCTTCAAACAGCTACGGATGCACATAAGTTAAAATAACACCTGTTTCGGAGCTCTATATCTAACAAGTGACAAGTAAAAGGCAATTACAGAAAGGGGGTAAGGAAGCAGGAGAGCTGGTCAGGCAGAACTATCAAGTTAATGTCAGCTCAACACCGCTTGTTCAAGAAAGAAGTTACAAATTAGGATATGGTACAAACAACCCTAGTTGGCTACGTTTTCTTGGGGAGATATGTTCTGATGTTGAAATGTCAACAGTGGTTTTTTCCTTCGCTTCTCTTGTTTAAATTGCTCCATGACATTTGTCATCCAGAGGGAAATTCCTATGTAAGCCCTAATTAATCATCAACGTCATCGTCTTTGTCCGCATCCCCGCCAGCTTCAGCATTCTCGTCACCTTCATCTTCCTCATCGGACATGTTATTTATAACTTCAGTTATAACATCCTTCACCTCAGCTTTTCTGTGCATTAGATCTACATCAAAGTGTTTACCTGGTACAGCCACAAAGAATACCTGGATGGTTAGGAGAGTGATAAAGAGATAAAATGAGATAAGGGCCTGCAATCAGAACAAGATCATACCAAGTTGCTTGAGTATATCAGACAAAGTTGCCTGCACATTTTCAGCAAAAGAGAGGTGTTTAGGCACAATGCAATTCTGGGCGATACCAATCAAGTATGATTGAAACACTAAGTGGCAAAGACTACTCACTGTATTGAAATCAACTTCTTTCAGGATATCAACAACAACTGCGTGCAACTCATCCCTGGTGGGTTCAGCCTTGGCCTTCTTGCCAGATTTTCCTTTCCCTATTTTACAAGCAGAAAAATATACAGGTAATCAAATCGATGAATGCAAAGACCAAAGAGCAAAATAAGCTTTGCCACAAAAAAAAAACAGCAAGAGAAGCAGATCATTTTCTCTTTACTAACAATTATCAGTATTCGAAAAAAATCATAATGAGAAGCTCATTCCTGCTTATCAAACACAACATCAGACAAACCCACCTTGATCTTTTGTAGAAGCTTTTGAAGTTGATTTGCCTGACTGCTTTTTCGAACTATTTTCCTTTTTCGAAACATCTTGTTCTTCAGCCTTGCGTTTCCTAGATGTAGACCCTTTGGATTTCAAAACTGAACCAGACCCTGCATCAGTATCTGCACTTGGTTTAGCTGACTGAGTAGATGACTTCTTCGGTCTTGGCAGACTTTTTGCAGGGGTGCTGCTCTTACCAGGTGTAGCTTTCTCCCTGCTTTTTGGAGCATCCTTTGCACTCTTTCTTGATGAAGACTTTTGAATTGGTGTTTCTTTCTTTGGTTCATCTTCGTCCGATTTATCCTCATCCTGATCACTTTCATCTTTGGGAACAGTCTCATCGTTATCATCATCACCTTGAGAATCCTCATGTGCATCTGCAGATTCATCTTTATCTTTATCATCCTCCTCATCTTCTTCCTCAACTTTGGGAGAGGGTTTTTGCTTTTCCTCAGCCTGAGATGACTGTTTTTGCCTCTACAGGACAAAAAAATGGATAGACAGGACTGTCATAAATAAGAAAAGCCAAAATAATCCTCCAATTGAAAGACTACTGCAGACCATGAATGAACTATTGACATCCAAAGGGCATCATCGATTATTAAAAATGCATACAGTTTTCTGAGGATACATCAACAGATAAGATGCAAATAAGAGTGCTCTCAGCCTAGGAAGTTTCAATAGAATGGTGGTGCCAATCCTAGTTGAACCATACAACATTCAACCATTAATAAGTTGTGCGCCCATGTAAATTAGTGTATATGCTCATGCAAGAAACGTGAAAGATGGAATCAGAAAGAACACCAAATCCTGCACGCTAGAGAAAGGAAGCAACCTTTTGGTTAGAGAATTGTTACTGCTGCTACCAGTAAGTGGTACCAAGATTATTAATTACTGCAAAGACGAACCCATTAACAGTTACGACATACCAAGTTCTCCATTAACAGTAGACAAACTAACCTTAGTTGATGCTTCACCAGGATTTGAGTTCTTCCCAGTTATTGACCTTCGCTTCTTACCTTTCTGGAACAGAGCATAGGATAGCAACTATTACCAGACGAAAAGCAACCCAAACTAGGTATAACATCAGACAAATGACTGTAAGAAAGGGATACCTGTTCCTTATCAGCAAGCAAAACATCAGTTGTAGCATGTGGGGATTCCAAGAAGTCCATGATTTTTACAGTGAGTTCTTCCTGAAAATATTTCCAGACAACCAATGAATTTATAGATACCCAAAAGAAAACATTAACATTACCAGTCCCAACTGACCTTTTTCATCGTGGCTTTAGTTACTTGAATATTGAGCACATCACAGAAATCTATAAGCTTTTCTTTTACACACTTGTCAAGCTTCTCCTTAACTTTTGACTTCTGTTTTTCCTATTTTGAGAATAAGAAATCATCAATCATAATCAATTTCAAGCTTCAAACTAGTCCTTTGCATTAAGAAAATTACATCCCAAAATTTAAGTTTAATGTAACACTTAAGAGATGGCCTACCTCATTCCCAGTCCAAACGAAGCCAGAAAACTGACCAATATTTCTCTTCATACTTTGCACCTTAAGAACAAGTGAAATTAACAAAATGTCAACACCAAAGAAAAGGGTAGCTGACAGTCCTAATAAACCAGAGAAATAAGAACAGGGACGCCAACTACTAAATCAGCCACACCTTTCCTTTCTTTCCAAATAGTAAAGTGTGTAGGATCTGCAGAGTCTCGTCAGCTTTTCTCTTGGACAACTTGAAGGCCACTGAAACAGTTTGATAAAGAGTGGATCTTACCAGCCAATAAATCATCATCAAACAACTAAGCAAAATATAAAAGTTCTTCATGAATAAGTAAATGGCATCCCAAACTCTTCAGCTATATAGAAGTGCGTGATTGCAGTAACATACATCTAAAATAAGAAAAAGGAACAAACACCAAAGCAACACGAGCTCCAATTAAAACATATCTGGTTCAAAGAGAAAAGATTATTTCATTAGACTTCTCTTCTACGACAAATGTCAGAAGTCAAACCGGATAAGCATTGACACTTATTCACTACCCTCTAAAGTATGGATAAAACCAGATAAATATGACGGACTTAGACAATTACAGTGCAAATACTGGTAAATCCAGACATCAACATACTCTGACTACCAACCAACCTTCATTCTAGTTTACCACAGCCACAAATCAGCAAGAAGAACATGTCTATCATCAGCAAATCTAGTTACTTGAGACCACTAGAAATGGTACTGGCACCCCCGCCATTAATGTATATCAATCACAGAGATTTGAAAAGCCTGCCCTTGGTGCAATTCTGGACTAGCAGACATCAACCACCGGAATAAGAATCAATACATCCAAAGAGAGATCCAACTGGCATGACTCCAAAAAAAGTCACATTTAAGAATTTCACATATGGATCTCACTCACTTGAAAGCTGTTCAAACAGTCTGACAAACTAAAAAAACAAGTGGCAGTAACACTTACCATTAGGAATATCTTTCAGAGGTGTCCCCCGGCCCTGCATAGCACAAAGAGCAACACTTTCATCATACCATTGCACGAAGCGAAGTCACAAATCAATGAACACCCCACAAGAGTTTAAGGCAGAATGGGATTTGCACCTTCTCAATTGACAATGGCTTGCTAGCAGAAGACCTGCCTCGTTCAGGAATAGAGTATCTTTCAACCATCTTCCGCTCCCTGGTTGGCCTCTCATTGCTTGGGGTCACAGCTTCTTTCTTATCAGTGGGTTCCTTACTCTGCTTCTCCTCGCTGGCTTCGGAAGTGTTCTTTTCACCTTGATTACTTTTCTTACCCTCTGCTTCTTCGTCTTCAACGTCCCCTTCCTTGTCAACCTCGGCGTCCTCATCCTCCGCCTCCTCCTTTCGGTCTATGCCATCTTCCTCTGCTGGCTCATCGTCGTTTCCCTTGTCAGCTTTTACATGGGGAACTTCAGAATTTTGGTCCTCCTTGTTCTCTTGAATCGGTTGCTCCACCTTCTCTTCTTGCTTCTCCTCTTCCTTGTCGTTTTCCTTCTGTTTCTCCTCTTCCTTCATTACGCTCTCTTCAGCCTGTTTTTCTTCCACTTCCTCAGGCTTTTCTTCCATCGCGGCATCCTCTTCTTCCTGCCCCTCTTTCATACCCTCGTCGACTTTTTCTTCCACTACTTTGGGCGGGGAATCCTCCTTGCTCTCTACCGGGGCTTCCTGATCCGGCTTTTTCTCCTCTAGGGTTTCGCTCGCCATGGACCGCAGTCCCGAATCAGAGAAGCAGAGTCACTTGGTAAGAGAGAAATCACAGGAATTAGAAGAACAAATAACTAAAACCCTAAGAGGAAGTTAGGTTTTTTTTTTTTAAGATCGCGAAAAAGTGTGGAATTTTGACTTTCGGGGTAGCAAAGTGTTTGTGCGCGAGTTTATGCGGGGGAGGTTTGAGTTGCGAGATGCAGAGAGATTAGGGATTGGGAAGAGAGAGAGAGAGAGAGAGAGAGAGAGGATTTCAGATTTGGGGGTGGGGCGGGGGGGAATTAGAACTGGAAAATTAGGGCGGGATCCAACTATCGGGAAAGAAAGACGAATGGGCGGGGGTTCAAAAATATTTGATGGCAAAATGGATTTCAGTAGAGCGGGATGATTTCAGTTTCAGCTTCCAGTTTTCCACTTTTTGTCCCCGCCATCGCCTGAATGGCTGCATAATAACAGACTACACGCACCAAGATGTGTAAGGTTTGATAGCATTCAATCAAGGTTGTCGAACCGGTTTACGGTGCCCCGATTTCACAAGTGAATCGATAGAGGAGAAAGAGAAACCGGTCTAGGAGAAAGAGAAACGTGGAGATGACAGGAGTCGAACCACTTTTTTTCTCTCAACAATTTTTGTCCATGGAAGATGAACAAAAACGACGGCGTAAAAAGTAAGAGACCGAAAAAGTTAGACTTCCGGTTGAACCCCTGGTATAGCGGGATTTGACCGAAATTGACCGCAACATCATGTCAGTAGCATTCTAACCAGTTTCATGACTGACACCGGTTCAACCGGCCGGCATACCACTGGCATGACAACTATGGTAGCATCTACGAAATCGAGTTTGAATGCATTTCCAAACTCGATTGTGGTATTGTTATTTTCACGAATTTTCTAAAATACTAAAAAAGTTGATAGCATCGATGTTCCAAAAGCTTATATTCGTGATTTTCACGCTAAGAAAATGTCTTGGGTCTGTTAGTTCTATGAAGCAGAAACGGCACAGAATTTAAGTGGTTTCCTCGTTCAAGATGAACGAGCCTAGTCCACAGCCGAAGCGATGAGATCTCTTATAATCGTATGTTACGTACAATCTCCACACATACATATTTACAGTGACAGAAAACCTAACAAGTATCCCTAGCCAACACAACTAAGGAGACCAACTCCTACACTAATACACGAAAACAAACTTGAGGCCTAGGAATGACCCCAATCCGTGAGACACACGTGCAACATATTTTAACACCCTCCCACAAATTGATGGGGGTTACGCAACATCAATTAGCCAGATATATACGAGTGTTGACTAGCTGTAAAGGCTTTAGTGAACAAATTAGCAAGTTGGTCTTCATACGTAATGTAGAATACCTTAATAGCCCCTTCTCAAACCAAATCACGAATGTAATGAACGTGGACTTCAATGTGCTATGTACAATCATGCATAGCCGAATTTGAAGCAATACGGATGGCACTAGTGTTATCCACATACAACTCCATAGGCACAACACATGTGACACCCAAGTCACCAAGCAACCGACGTAGGCACTCGAGTTCCGAAGTCACATCCGACATAGTGCGGTACTTAGCCTCTGTAGAAGATTTAGAAACATGATCATGCTTCTTACACCGCCAAGAAATGACGGAGCCTCCAAAACGAATACACCAACCAGTTGTGGAACGACGAGTATTAACAGAACCAACATACTCTTAGTAAAAAAAGGCTTGAAGAACCAGAGGATCAGACGCCGATAAAAAAAACCCGACATCTCTAGTACCCTGCAAGTATCGAAGAATTAGTGAACAACATCGAGATGGACACTACGAGGAGCAGCCATAAACTGACTAACAATCTGAAATGCATAGGCTATGTCGGGCCAAATAGAGGCTAGATAAATGAGACTTACAACAAGACTGCGATACTACTTACCACCCTTATCAGAAAGCAACGTGCCTAAATCCCTCCCCAACTTCAAATTCAATTCCATGGGAGTAGATACAGACACACAATTAGTAAAGTGAGCGGAATCAAACAAGTCATAAATGTACTTGGACTAGAAAAGAAGAATACCCACACGAGAGCGAATAACCTCGAGTCCCAAATAAAAGGATAAGGAACATAATTCCTTCAACCAAAACGACTGATGAAGACCCACATTCAACGAGGCAATGCCCTCATCATCATCACCAGACAATATCATATCGTCAACATAAAGAAGTAAAACCACAAGTCCGCGAGAAGTCACACGAGTAAATAAGGAGTGATCATTCGAGCTTTGTTGAAAACCCAAAGCCAATATAGTAGAATGAAAATTGTCAAACCAGGAGCATGTTTCAACTTATATAATAACCGACAAAGGAGACAAACTTGATCTTTGCTTCCCAGTTTGTATCTTGGGGGACACTCTATGTACACAGTTTCCTTCAGCTCGCCATAAAGAAAGGCATTCATCAAGTCAAGTTGATACAATGGCTAATCACAAAGAGAGGTGGCAACAAGAAGAGTACGAACACTCACCATCTTTGCAATAGGAGCAAAAGTTTTTTCAAAATTGATGCCATACTCTTGATTGAAACTTTGAGCAACTACGTGAGCCTTGTATTGTTCCAAGGATCCATCCGGTCTCATTTTCAATGTGTATACCCAGCAAGAACTAATAACCAGAATGGCCGAAGGAGATCATGGTAAATGGTACGAGATCCCACGTATAATTAGAATGAAGTGCATATATTTCTCCATCCATGGCTCCGTTCTAGTGAGGGTTACTGTGTTCTTGTGAATAGGGGTGGGAACTGAATTAGACTCGACTTGATAAGAGACATAATCTCGAAGCCGAGAAGGTGGATGGCCAAACAAGGTGCGCATGGAACGGCGAATAAGAGGAGCAACATCCTCCGGTATAGGTGAAGCTGGCGAATTCAAAGCTGGAAAGGAAGATGAAGTTGAAGTCGAGGTTGGCGAGGCGGGCGGATCAGCCAAGGGAAATGGGATAGGAGGTGGGTCAGCATAATCAATAGTGCCAAAAAGGATGGTAAACTCAAGGAAGTATCAAACAAAGATGGGGACTCGGAGGGAGAATAATACATGACATTTTCGAGAAAGACAACTGATCGCTGCTTCGATCGAGCTTTAAATCTATATAGTCAAAGCGCACTTACTAGTCAATCCTAACAAGGCCATGTATAACCTAGCTAGGGATGTAGTAAAGCGGGTCGGTCGTATTCCAAGACTCACGGTATCCTAGTCTTAGGCTACTTAGGCTCGGTCGTTATCTAGTCAACCTGTTGTTTGGCAGGTGGGTACTTCGAGGAACTATCCCTAACCCTAGCCTAGGGCTACTATGTAATGTCAAGGTACTTAGCGTTTATTAAATGTGGTGAGTGAGCTCTTTTCCATGGGCTTTCGTGATTATCCACACGCCTCCGAGTACGCCTCCCCTAGACCCATATATAGTCACCTCGATCTAGGCTATCGTATATGGGGCATTAAGCTCGTAGCTCCTTTCAATGGGTACTACCCACCGTCCACACCGAGGTTTCATCTCGGGTTCTATCTATGAAGGCTACCTATGACAGGGGTTCAATCGCCTCGACCACCATAGGTCCCTATTCATACATCTAATCTCAATTTGCTTGATGGAGCATACTTGTGTAACCCTACAACTTCATACAAAGTGTAGAAGCATAAAGTAGGCTAATAGAGAAGATTAGGACGACTTACCCAAACACAATCAAGGCTAGACGACAATAACAACTAGATAAACACATTCATTCATTCAAACCCTAAAATATCCATACATAAGAATAGAGAAGATTAGAGTACGTTTTCTCGTCAACTAGATAAACACATTCATTCATCGCTGTCGTGGTGAGTAGATGTGAGCAATGGGAAATGTGTATTTGAGTATACCCCAAACCATCCCTTTTTTTGTGTTACGGATACCCAAATACCCGTTATATTTGTTGCGGGATTGAACTTGTGATTAAGAATCTCAACATCGGGTACCTGTGGGTTACCCACTAATACCCGTTTGGTAATTTGGGTACCTGTATTACCCATTAGGATTTAAATTTCATTGTAGAGGCCAGAGGAAGGAAGGAAAGGGTGTTGGTTGCTTAGAAAAAAAAGGAGAAAGCGGAACTGTGATTTAGTTGTCTTTGGGTTTCTTCTTTGATTGCTTGAAGCTTCTGTTGGTTGCCCGCAAATCAGTGACTGCTTCTCGCTCCTTCTCCTTGGCGTAGTGGGTAAGAGTAACGGGGAACAGACAAAGGTGGGGAGTTTCATTTATGTGCGCAAGAGATAGTAGCTTAATCTTGTTATTTTGTTGTTCAATCAAACTTCATTTTCATTTTGAAGGACAGTAGCTATATTTCTTAATGCCTTATACTTATGTCTTATGCTTTATGGAGATAGTTTCTGAATGCTTATGTCATTTTGTTTCAATTGTAATTTTGTTATTTTGTTCCGGGTGTAATTTTGTAAATGTTCTCATGTTGAACATTATAAATAGGTAGTTTGGATACCGGTTATCTGTCCCCGTATGCGTTAACGGGTACCCATTACTCGTACGGGTTTGGGATATGGAATGAACGGGATGGGTACACCATCCCGTTTCCCACCCCTAGGTGAGTGGTGAAGAAGTTGGCAAATAAACCATGCAAAATCAACCAAACAAGAACCACATATATATATATATCAATGGCCAACAAGCCAAAGAACACAACTACACAAAAACTAAATTACAAATTCTGTTTCCTCCATCAAATTGTCAAAAAGAAGAATTTCGAATTCGGATGAAAAAACTAAATAACACAACTTGCCGTAACTTCATTAATGAATCTCAACATTCTTAGTATTTCGTTCTTCCGTCACCTTCAGTGATCACATCTTTGAATGAACTGCCACTGGGAATCATGGGCAGAACATGCTCTTGATAAGGCACAACACATCCAACAAGTAAGGTCCAGGTGGGTCCAACATTTTCTGAATTGCAACTCTAAGATCTGCAATTCTTGTTACCCGAGCTGTAGGAACTCCACAGGCTTCAGCAAACTTCAACATGTTGGGGAATATCTCGGCTTCCCTCGATGGGTCACCAAGAAATGTATGAGCTCTGTTAGCCTTATAGAAACGATCTTCCCACTGAAGAACCATACCCAGGTGCTGATTGTTCAGAAGCATAATCTTGACTGGCAAATTCTCCACTCAAATGGTAGCCAACTATTGCACATTCATCATAAAGCTTCTGTCGCCATCAATATCCACAACATCAGCTTCCGGATTGGCAACAACAGCACCCATAGTAGCAGGCAAACCGAAACCCATAGCTCCAAGTCCAGCAGAAGTCAACCACTGTCGTGGCCTCTTGTACTTGTAGTGTTGAGCAGCCCACATTTGATGTTGACCAACCCATGTGCTAATTATTGCTTCCCCATTAGTCAATTCATCAAGAACCTGAATGGCATGTTGCGGTGGAATCGCTTCTCCAAAAGTCTTGTATGTCAATGGATACTTCACTTTCTGTTCATTCAACTCCTCTCTCCATGCCTTGAAATCCAACTTACTCTTAGCCTCCTTGCTTTCCAAGAGCTCATTAATCCCCTGCAATGCCAACTTCACATCTCCACACAACGATACGTGAGGCTGCTTATTCTTACCAATCTCAGATGGATCAATATCAATGTGAACAATCTTGGCTCTACTCGTAAAAGCTTCAAGCTTCCCAATCACACGATCATCAAACCTCACTCCAAAAGCAAGCAGCAAATCACTGTGCTCCACAACATAGTTCACATACACAGTTCCATGCATCCCAAACATTGCCAGTGACAGGCTGACAGCTCATCCGAGACAGGGAAAGCTCCAAGCCCCATTAAAGTGCTGGCTACATGTAGTGATGGCAATGGGGCGGGGCGGGTACCTCAATTCCCATGCCCCGCCCCACGCTACTACGGGGCGGGGCGGGTCGACCCACTCTTACATGTTATTCGAAAAAAATACAAGTAAATTTTACTTTTTACGATAAAACAAAGGGAAAACACTTTAAGAATGAAAGATAGTGATAATATAATGGGTAATTGAGTCTAACAAGTTGAAAGAGCGACTCTAACTAGTTGAAGAAAAGTCAAAATAAGAGAAATGTGTATAGAAATTGTAAGAAATTGAGATAAAATGAGTCTAAAACGGGGCGGGGCGGAAGTAGATACCCATGTCCCGCCCCACGCGTGGGTCAGGTTGGGTAATACCCGCGGGGCGGGTTGAAATTGCCATCACTAGCTACAGGAATCCCAGTTAGCTCAACGAACTTGCTCAACTCTTGACTCGAATTCAAACACCCTCCTCCCACGTACAACACAGGCTTCTTTGACTCCAAAATGAACCTCGTAATGACCTCCAAATTCAACTGGCAAGGCGGCTTAGGCAACCTAGCCATGTAACCATGCAACTTCATTTCACATTCCCAATTAGGAACAGCTAGCCGCTGCTGAATATCCTTGGGAATGTCGATCAAAACCGGGCCAGGGCAGACCAAAGTAGCCAAATGGAACGCCTCTTTCACAACCCTAGGAATGTCATCCACACCGAGAACCAGATAATTGTGCTTGGTAATGGAGCGACTTACCTCGACGATTGGAGTCTCCTGAAAGGCGTCAGTTCCAATCATGCGGCGGGGCACCTGGCCGGTAATGGCGACTAGTGGGACGCTGTCGAGGAGCGCGTCAGCGAGGCCGCTGATGAGATTGGTGGCCCCGAGGCCCGAGGTGGCGATACAGATGCCAGGCTTGCCGGAGGAATGAGTGTAGCCTTTGGCAACGAAGATGTCGCCTTGCTCATGGCGGGGAAGAACGTTTCGGATGGTTGTGGAGCGAGTGAGGTCCTGGTGGATCTCCATGGAAGCGTCGCCCGGGTAGGCGAACACATCGGTGACTCCCTCCCGCTCGAGCGCTTCCACGAGGATGTCGGGCCCCTTCCGGGGCTCGTCGGGGTAAAATCTAGGGACCACAAGCGGAGGATCTGTGGTGGTGATGGAGGAAAAATCGGCAGGGCGGGTTTTGAGTTGGCAGAGCAGGAGATGTGGAGAGATTGGCGGGGAGATGGACGGAGGGAGTAAGAGAATGACCAGCGGGGGATGGACAGAGGAGATCTGGTGGTGGAGGAAGCAGTGAAGACGGCGGAGGAAGCGGCGACGGCAACCATTGTCGACATGCACAAGAGGGGCTACCAATGCCAATGGATGTTTGCAGTGAACGAGGGAAGGCGGCGGAGGCGAAGGTGGGAGGAGGGGTTATTAGTTCGAAGAAGGCAGAAATAGAGAAGGATTAAGTCGAATTACCATAAAGGACTTATCGATTGCGTTTATTTAAGGGGGCAGGAATGTATAGACGAACAAGGCGAGGACAAGATTTTTCCCAACCAGTCAGCCTACGGACAGGCGAACGATGAGGAGTGTAGTGAGTGTGTTACGACGAGTCATTGTAGGGTTTTGTGGTTCAAAGGAGAATATTGCCATTGCCGTGTAATCCAACTAACAAAAGGACATATAATGTGATTAAAGATATCGATGTTAGTAACTTTTTATATGTTGTTTATATATCAACAGTTAAGTTTTTCATTAGAGGTTATCATAAAAATAATTAGTATGACATGGTTGTATGAAATTTTTAATAAAAATAAAATTTAAATAAAGAGAAAAAACCATATGCTCATTCACTTGTTTCTATTTCTCTCCTCTCCTCATCTCCCTCTGATGTTCTTCTTTCTTTCCGCCACAAAACTTGTTTAAGCCCGGAATGTACCAAGCGGTACAACACGGAAGGACGCCCTCTTCAGGTAGAGGAATGCGTACTTCAATCTCGCAAGAAGTTCCACAGGGGTGGCCTAGGACACCCTCCGATTCTGAAGTGAGTAAGAGAAAGAAGTTTTAGTGTAGAGAGAGAGTAGTTGATCTTACCATTAATACCACCAGTAGGGTATTTATACCCAAGGACTGGTGACTTAAGCATTTAATGTCTCCACTTGGCCACCTACAGCGCAATTAATGCTATGACATGCATCGACGCACGAAGATTTTGTGATCTTTCCTCGATATTAATAACCGCGGGACGCCTTCTAGAATGAACACCGTAGTGACAAGCCACCGCAGTCTGAGGCCTCAGGGTACTGGTATACCGATGGAACGCTAAAGGCCCTTCACTTGGACAGAGAGCGACCTTTTACGGACGCCTTTCCCAATTGGCTTACTATGCTTTCGGATTAGGAGATCATTACTTAGTCCAACATTTTCCCCTTAGGCGGGAACATCTATGGGTTTTTGCGGCTATAAAACAATATTTTAATGATGAGCGGCTAACCTAATCCGAAACACCAAAGTGCTACTGCCCCTGATGCGAAACACAAACGCGCCGCCTACCAGCTCCATCGTACAAGCTCACGCTCCTTCCTTAGCCATGTATGCTTAGACGTGATTTGTGTATTGTTTTTTCATGCTATAATGTTTTTCAAACTTCCTTTATGCCACGTGTCAATTTTTGGTTGTCTTGAAGGGGTGTAATGGTCACTCAAACGTCTTCTCGTACTCTATAAAATTACCCAGAGTAGGGTTTCAGTCACTCCACAACTGCCCCTATGCCCGAATCCTTCGTATAAACCCTTCTGGTAAACCTCCTATTCTTTCCTTCGAGCTATCTTCCTTTTCTCTCCTCTTTCCTCTAAGTTAATTCTGTCACTCTTCTAATTGTCACAATTGCTCGTTGTGTCGAGTATTTTTGCTCTCCTCGGCAGAATCCACTGCGGGTGAAGTTCAAGAAGTCACTTTAGAGGAATCATACTATCATAGGAAGAAGATGATTGGGAAATCAAAAAACTCCGCTGCTTCGACCACCATTTTCGCCAATGTCGTCGAAAAAATCTAAGGCTATAGTTCCCCCCTACTGGCACTTTTGATGATCCCCCTCCTCAAGGACTATGTCAGAGCAACACCGTCACCCCGACGACCTCTGTGGGTGGTCAAGTTGGTGGGCCTTCCTCCACAACCTTTTTGGAAGACCAAGGTATGCTCAATCTTTCTTCTTCTCTGAGCGTTTCAAAACTTGATAGGGATTTTGAAGTGGTAGAAATAGGTTTTACTGAACTTTGGGAGGATGAAAAACTATTCCAACTATTTGGATCCTCACCGAAGTTCCTTCCACCAATAATGGGCAGGTGGGCACCTCTTCCACTGTTGGTGAAAACATTTTAGAGAAGATCGAGAACCATGCTATTAGCCTTTCCTCAACTGAGGATACTTTGTTTGGTGCCCTTGAGGAGGAGGCTCCTTGAATCTTAGCTCGCCCTTTCTGGTTTTATTAGAAAGCGTCATAGTTAGATCTTACCAAGCTATTGAAGATGACGAATACCATTTCTGCATCCATAGGGACATGTGGGAAGTTCAACCAGTTCCAGAAATCATTTACGCGCAAGGTCCTGATAATGAGGCAACCTTATCTCTTTCTGCTACCTTGCATCGACTGAAAATTCTTGGGCTTACCACGCATTGGGAATATGTAGTTTTCTCTCACTCGTGGTTGATCAAGCTCTTTTCCGTGAGGCTGGATTCATATTCATGTAGAGTAAGTCAGACTTGAGTTATGCTTCCTACTTGATCCTGTATTAACCCAGACTATGTTTTCATTGAAATGCACCCTAGGCCGCCTTTCGCCCAATATCATCTGTCATTCAGCTGCTTATCGCCTTGCATGCAAGAGAACTAAGGAGGAGCCCTCTTTTGAGACCTTCTGATTGCTTTATGGCCTTAGAGATTCCACTAACTGTTGTTCATTTGTAAGGCGTGATGCGACGCTCGGTTTCTTGTATGGGTTGCCCAAGCTAGACTTCATTTGGTTCAAAAAGTATTTTTTTTTTGCTCGCCCTGTGATTCCTTGGTTTTTTGGAGATTCTGAACCTCTTACTGGGCATGTTGTTGGTGTAAAAGCCTATTGGAATTCCCACCTCGATTTATGTGAATCCACCCGAAAACATTTAAAAGATAATGAAGTGGGTGCATTTCGACTTGAATCTGGAGGGCGGGGATTCAACTCTTCAGACTGTGCAAGATCTTCATGGTTAGCGTGCTTTCTATTTATTTGAACGGATTCTTTCTGCATCATTGTACTTATGCTCTTCTCTATAGGAATGGATTTTTTTCCAGATGGAGCTCGACCGAAGAAGCGGAGGAAAAAGGATGTGGCATCTCGCGAGAGCGGCTTTTGATCTCAAACTGTGGATGCAGGATATCTGAGGGTGCCCCCTCTTTCTAACCCGCTACGGGTTAATGTTACTGGTGCGACGGGAGGACCCGTTTCTACCTCTCGACAGGTAAGAAGCGTTCTGTTGTCACCATTGTTGTGTCTGTTGTGTTTCCTTCGTCAAAACGCAGGAGGCGTAAGTCTGCTCTTACAATCGAAACTACTAGTGGGATGCAAGCCACTAGTCCAGAGCACCCCACAAATCTCTTTTTTCCCTAATGCTTCTATGAGTGGAGAGGCAGCTCAGCGTGTCTTGCATTCCATTGCTGAAGGGTTGCAGGTGCCCCCAGAGTATACTCCAACTCTTCTCTCTCGCCATCAACATGGCCGAGACAACCGCTCGCTTCTTATTTGTAGTATGACTTACCCTCAGTACTTGTTGTTATCTCCGCTTTCCAATACTTACCCATTTTCTGTTTGCAATCCCGGGTTGAAGTGCTCTCTCACTCTAATAAAAAACACAATTGAAGGAAAACCAAAGCGACTTATAATTCGGTTCGGCGTGACCGTACCAAAATATAATTCAGTTCGAAATCGATTTTAGTTTTATACATAACATGTAGCTCGATATGCAAACCGAATCGAACCAATGTCCACCCCCACATGGCCACATACATGACAACTATGCTCTAAGAAAACCAAACCTAAATTTGAAAGGTTGCGTTTCATAATTGTAAATGCCACATTTGGTCACTGAGATTACTAAATCGTGTCATGTTTAGTCACTAGAAAAATTTAATATCAATGTTGGTCACTCGAATTATCAAAACATGTCACATTTAGTCACTCTCTCGTTAGTTTCCGTCCAATTCCATTTGGAATTGGACGGAAACTAACGAGAGAGTGACTAAATGTGACATGTTTCAGTAATTCGAGTGACAGGAGTTGGACGGAGGCTAACGAGAAAGTGACTAAATGTGACATGTTTCAGTAATTCGAGTGACCAAAATTAATATTAAATTTTCCTGATGACTAAACATGACACGATATAGTAATCTCAGTGTCCAAATGTGGCATTTACCCGTTTCATAATAAATAAAAAAATTGAAAGGTTTGCGTTGGAGTTGGTGTAAATGCCCACACTTTGAAATTGGAGGGAATACGGAAGCCCCCATTTTGAACGGCGAAGTCCTCAGTCCACATCCGTCATTCGGCCAAGCCCCCGGAGATTGAAACAATGCTCAGAAGACGACTAGTTCTCTCTGACGACGAGGATGAAGAACACAAAAATCCACTCCGGCTGCCTTCTTCTCTGCCACCTCCGCAATGGGAGGAAGCAGATTTGCACGACCCAGAAATTGAAGCTGGTTTACCGCAGCCAGCCGTAAATTACCAAAACCCTAACCCTAACTTCTCTGAGCCAGTAGTCCCACTCTCCGACGAAGAGTTTGTGGATGTATCCGACGATACCAATTCTGCGTCTCCTCCTCCGGAGGCCGTTTCCTCTAATGCATCGGAGAATCAGCAGCCGCAACCGCCGCCGGCCCCGGAGGAGAGCTTCGGATGTCCGGTAGGGGATGTTCTGTCGCGGATGGGATTGAGGTTAAAAAGGGAATGGCTGGATTCTTGTCTCGGAGGGCTTGGGAGCTCGGTTCAACATCTTGATGTTACGGGGAAGGCCAGGCATTGCTTTGACAAGTTCTTAATTTCCAACTTGAACTACTGTGGCGCAGGCGTGCTTCCGCTCAATGTGGATGCGATGCACCTTGTGGATCTCCCCGGGCCATTTGTGTTGCAGGTGCGGGTTAGATTTGGTGATGTTGTTTTCTTCTTCTTCTACTTTTGCGATCTCCTTAATCAATTCATAAGCTTTGTTCCTCTCTGGGTCGATTTAATCTCTCTGATTTCTGCCATGTAGTAGTAGCTAACGCATAATTGTGTATGTAGTAACTAGTTCTTAACTCACTTTAAGTCCAAAAATTTCCAGGTTGACGAGATCGTTAATTTGAGTGCTCCCCTCAAATCTAGGTATGAAGATGCACATTGCGGGCTAAAGAGGTGCCTTAAATTATCAATGACAGATGGTGTTCAACGTGTGTTTGGCATTGAGTATAGGCCTATCAGGGATCTTAAAGTTTTGGCTCCTGCTGGGTTCAAGGTATTCCATTCATGATAATACGATGATTTTTTGTTGCTTTGATTGGAGCGTCCATGGAGGCTTCTCAACTTGAATGGTAGAAGGATTATCATCTTTTCATTTTCACATGTAGATGGCCTTGCGTAATGTACATGTCCGTCGTGGACTCTTGATGCTGGTTCCTGAAGTTCTTGAAATCTTAGGAGGGATGGTGGAGGAGTTAGATGGAGCAAGACAACGTCTTGTTGAAGAAGTGAATAAGCCTCCTAGGGGAAAGAGGTGTGGTCTGGAGTTTCCTTCTACATGAAATTTACTCTATTAACTACTTTTGAAAGTAGTTGTGTGCTCTCACTTTGGATCTCTTTTGTCTTTTGCAGAGCAAGAGCAGGAGTGAATCCTCCTTTAGCTACCAGGGCCACTCTGGCTGCATGGCCCCTCTCTGCAATCAATGACCAAGGAAACACCACCAATGGATCTGATAATTCCCTTGGGACCAGCACCTCCACTATTAATCCTGGACTCGCGAATGAACGCTATGATCGTTCTGCTAATGTTGCTGGATGCAGCAATGTTCCTACCAATTGTTCTAGATCCTCAGCTCACTCCACTTTACACACTGCAATCCCCTTTTCTGGTGGAGGCAGCAATAATCCTATCAACATTTCTAGATCCCAAAATCCCTCCACGGTACAGAGGGCAATTTCTTCATCTATCAATGTTCCCAGTGGCAGCAATAATTCTAGCAATGTTTCTAGATCCACAAATCCGACCTCAGCCTCTTCCAGCAACTTCAGTGGAGGCAGCAACAGTCCTGTCGATGCATTCAGATCCACAAATTCCTCTACCATACAGACTGGAGGTCCCTCTCAATCACATGACCAAGGTCACCTTACCCTGTTGCTTCTTATATTACCTCTTAAAATGCATTCTGCAGAAATGTTTTGACTGCAAATTGAAAAGGTTCTATGTGCTTGGTATTGTTGATTTAGGTAATCGTTTGGTTACATTGCGCACCAATTCCAGCCAGTGCACTACAAATGGCCATGATAATGGAAGAGCAGGATTATGTGCTGCCAGTCTATCAGATAGAGTTGTTTCAGAAGTTGAGGGGATGCATATTGATGCTTCTTCTCCTGTTCTCAGGGAGAGTGCTGCATCGGATCAAGAGGATACTCTTATGGTTGATGAACTTGAACATCCCCTTATATTATCTGGGGATCAAAAGATTCCATTTACGTACTTAGCTAGTTTGTCAGCAAAATGGGCATCAACAAGGATGAAATCTTCCGTCCAGGGAAAGATTAAGGTGCCTGCTCCCCTGTCGTGTGAAATTGAGCAAAGACAAATTCTGCTCTCATTAACTGTTAATTTGTGGTTGAAAAACTGCAGTGTCTCATTACTGGTGTGAAGGGATTCCAATACAGGCAGAGAGAAACATATGATTTACGAATATATGTGGACGATGGAAGCCTCATCTCTGAGATCCTGGTCCATCATAATGTAAGTTCTAGGATCAGTTTGTTCAAAATAAGTTGCACAAAGTCATCTAATATGTTCCACCAATATATGGTACCCTTTTCAGGTCGTTACCAAAGCTATAGGTTATTCACCCATAGAGGTCACTTCTGCTCTTTCTTCCAAGGATGTAAAGAGAGTTGGTGATATGAAGGACACCATGAGACAGTTCCAAGTATTTCTAGCCAACTTTGAGGTAGTTTTGCTCTCAACCCTTTTTATGATCCTCGTTTGCTGGCTCATTGAGAATCTCTTTTGGTCTTTCATTAGTTGATTTGCTTTGCTTTACATTGGTGGGGTCTGTTTTGGATTTAGGGCACAATGCTTGTAGAAATGAATGGAACCTCCTCTGTTCCAGTTGCCCTCGAATTAGACCAAGGGAGCCCTCCTGCTGATGCATGGCTGCTTATGGAAAGGCTCAACAAGTTTCCTTCTCCCTCTCAACAAACAGCGGCTCATCATACTGCTTCTGAGACCATTACCATTTCTCCATGACCCGACCCAGAATCTGTTGGTGGAGAAAGAGAACTTATAATTTATTTGCTGGAAAAGGTGAATTACTCATACAAGAGAACGCAATGATGTAACATTCTACAACAGAATGAAGCCCCTAACTACACTAGGCCAGTAGTAGCCGTAGATCTTTCTGTCTTTCTGTCGGAAGGGAAATGTTTGGAGACTGTTAATTATGGTCAAGCAGGAAACTTCCGGTGGCTAAACTTGGAAGAATCTCCAGAAACCAGAAGATGGATTCCTTGCACCGATTCGCGATGTCAGCAATCTTCTTGCTGCGGGCATCATCGACTGAGCGGCCAGGCGGCGGGAGCAAAAAGAATCGGTTGCTCCACTCGATGGCATCAGGGCAAAACGCCTTCACCCAGAATATTGACCGGTACCATTCTGGCTCTGTCAAGTACTTGTCTCCCCGCAGTGCGCTATTAACAATTGATTCTGCACATTCGGCGGTGGACTCCAGAGGCATCACGCTCAGTTGAACCTGCCATCATCAGTTTTGGGCAAGCCAAAGTTTGAACTTGCTAGCTTACTGTATATAAGCATATATCACAAATGTTATGTTGACAAACTTACATCTCTCATTTCTTTATCCATTCCCAGTCGGCCTTGTTGATTCAGGAACTTGCCGCCTGTCATTTCCGACTCGATTAGCCCCGGGGTGACGATTGTGATTCCGATTTCGGTTCCCAGTTCCACTCTCAGCGTCTCGTACATGGCAACTACCGCTGCTTTGCTTGCCTGCAAGGAAAAAAAAGAGAATCGATAGTGAAGAACTGTTGACAAAGGAGAAGAGAACTAATCTCACTAGTTTACATTGTAGAAGCTCATCCTCGGAGCAGGCAGCCACGACGCACACGAAGATATTACTACGATCTTCCCGTGGGTCTCCCTCAGGTGTGGAATTGCAAAGTAGGAGCTATAAACCGATCCCCAGAAGTTTATGTCCTGCGTGCACGTCAGACAATCAACCGCATGAAATTAACTACGGTGCAGACTGGATTTAGCTGCGAGCTGCGTCCGCCTGCACCAAATGACTGTAGATCAAGCATGGTTTTGCGACTTCAGTACCATTGACGGGGCCAGTTGGGTGACGTCGGGGATGTCCTCGAACAAGCTGACTGGACAAACTCCGGCGTTGGTTACCAGGTGATCCACTGCAGGCAATAACAGAAACACCCTAAGAAAATTTAACGGTAAGGAACTATGTGTCAGAGATGGAGCTCTATATGTTTCGTTTGTACATCTGCCAAATACCGTCGCAGCTGTGTTGACAAACCGGCGGCAGTCTTCGGCGTTGGTGACGTCACCCTGGATGACCAGAGCGTAAGGGCTACCCATCTCCTCTGCTTTGGAGGCGACGTGGCGGAGGCGATCCTCTCTTCGGGCAACCAGAGCAAGGCAGGCTCCTCTCTTGGCGTACTCGTAAGCCAGATGCTTCATTCAGCCACAACAAACAATTAACAAAAACCCAACCAACAAAATCGAAACAATTCAGCTCCGAAAGTAAAAAAAATTGACGGTGTTTGCACTGCCGCAGATGGAAGTAAATTCGGTTATGCACCTCGCCGATGCCGGAAGATGCTCCGGTTATGAGAACGACTTTTCCGGTAACATCCTCCTTGAACACTGTCCTCCAGATGGACTCCACTCTGGTGTAGATTCGGTAGACATGGTTCAAGAAGCCGAGAAGTGTGACGAGGGAGATAGGGGTGAACACTATGTTCATCAAGTTGTCATTCGCCATGATCATGGCTGTCGATCGGCTGCATGCGCTTCAAGAGTAGAGACGAATTGAGAAGCTGGAGAGTGGGGAGCGGCGGTGCGGTGGTGATTGAATTTACCGGCAGATGATGATGAGAATTGAGAAGAGGACGTTAAATAATGATCTTGCGAGCTGGCTCTTGGTTGTGTTGCCACGTATAGCTTGCCTTGCATTGATGAGACAACACGTCGACTGCAGTGTGACGCCACCGTATTGCAATTGAAGGTGATTTATAGGGGTGTACATGGGTCGGGTGGTTCGGGTTTAGTCATTTTAATCACCCGATCCATGCACTACGGTTTGACAAATATCAAACCCAAACCCACCCAAAAATATTTAAACCCTACGGTTTGTTTCTAATTGGGTTGGGTCGGGTTGGCGATATTTTTAAGTAAAAACCCAACCCAACATAAATATATAATTATTCTACATCATAAAAATATTTTATAACTAATTAAAATTTCAAACGAATGAACCAAAGTGAAAGGTATGAAAATTCACAAATGTTGTTTAAATTTTAATAAAATGTAATTTACTTCAACATATGTCTTGTTTTTTCACGATATTTGTTGAAATAGGCTAAAAATGTTATAAACAAACACATCCATCATATGTTATTCTATTAAAATTGTACACAAGAAAAAGGATTACGTGAATCATAACTATATTCAATTTATGTCTAAACTTTAAGTCGAAGAATGCATTAGATTAGGGAGACCATGAGAGAAAAACATGGTGAAATATCTTAATTTTCTCATAAGTATATGACTATATAGTACATAAATATTTTTTAGATTCGAACTCATACTAATAGTTGGAACACGGGTTGGGTCGGGTTCTACGGGTTGTGTAATCCAAAATCCAAACCCAACCCAAAAGAGGCGGGTTGTACAAAAGAAAACCCCCACCCAACCCAAAACCTTCATTTTAGCGATAAATACGGGTGGGTTGGGTCGGGTTGGACGGGTGGGTCGGTTTCCGGGTGTGTTTGTTCACCCCTAGTGATTTAGGGGAAACTGTTTTTTGAGATAGATAATTAAAAAACTGTTTTTTTTTTTATTAAGGCCCTTTTTCAATATTAATTGAAAATGCTACAACTAGCTGGATGTATATGAGTCAACTGTTGGAATTTTAAAAGGTGTGAATGAAAATGAAAAGGGAAGGAATTAAAATTTGGTGACTTGTTGAAGACGCAGTCTAAAATTCGGTCGAGTTTATTTAATATGTAGGTAATTGGTTAAATTGATTATTGTAAGCAACTGGATCAGATAGAATCGACTTGAACTGAATTAAACCAAACTGATGTGTGGTGGAATAGTCCAATCGGTCACACTATCATGAGCCGAACCAATGTAATGGTTGATAAATGTTAAACAAATCAATGCAATGGTTGAAGTGTAACTACCCACCTGAAAGTTTGCCTCTCTTTGTACGCACATCTTCATTTTCTATAAATAAAGAGGGAGGGCTAACCACCGCGATAGAGAGATTGCATGACGTCGGATATGGAATCAAGAGGGAGAGAGAGCCTCTGCGCGAGGGAGACTGCATGCGCCAGATCTAGAATTAAGAGGGAGAGAGAACCTTTGCATGAGGGAGACTGGATGGCACCGGATCTAGAATTGAGAGGAAGGGCGAGCCACCGTATTTTTTCAACGGAATTAGGAAACGATGACGCCTACGATGAAGCCTGAGCGGTTTAAGCAGTGAATTTCAGAGTGAAGAATGAAAGGCGGGGTTTCATAAGAATTTCTCACTGTGAGATTCTGTTTTTGGGGTTCAGAGATAACTTTTTATTGATAAAGATGGAGAGAGAGGAGAGAACAGGGTAGCCTACGCAGACAGAGTAATCGAGGGTTACTAACTAGGTAAGGGTCATTATACCTACAACTGGATTTCGTCTACAGTATACCGATACCATCGGTCAACAGTTGAATTGGTAATCACTGGTTATCGATTCGGTAACCGGTTAAATAATTAACCAACTATCATATTACGAGTACTAGTAGGCCTTTATGGACTATAAGGTGGTTTGGATGGTTATATCCTATTGAGAAAATATGAACGACCTTAGGTATGTAAAACCTATGAAGAGGCTTGTGAAGACTTGTGGGTCAAGTCTATCTAAACCAAAAACTTTTCAAGTCTTTTTTTGAAAGGTTATGTTCAAAGTAAAAATTAAACATAGTGCAAAACAAAAAATAAAACAAAAAACAAAAACAAAAAGAGGATACCTCCAATGCGTTGGAGATGGAACTTGGTTAGTATAAATGTAAAAGATTGCATTACGATGAAGCACAAAAGACAAGGAATTCTAATTCCTAAGATGCTTGTGAAGACATGATAATTTGTTTATCGTGCATGTGGTTTAGGACTTCATCTTTTCTATGCCTTATGTGGCAAGGTAAATGAAACTAAAATTGATTCTTAGAGGGATTTAAGAACTTTGTCAAAGAATGGTGATCATCAAGATAATCATACGATCATAATGGTTTACTATAGAGATACTCTATGTCATTGACAGATAATTTGACTTGTGCATCTTATAGTCAATTTTTTTAATGGTATATGTATACTATACCATTGAGAAACAATTTGACTTATGATTATCAATGTGAAGTTATTTGTCAAAACTGTTTATAGTATATATGAACAATATACTATTCAACTTTAGTCTAAATACCTTTTAGTATATGTGTAAATTTATACCATTGGCAAGTTATTAGATTATTAACTCAGAAAAATTCATACAAATTACTTGTGGTGTGTCATGTTACCTTGACAAAATGACATTGATAAGTAATTAGATGAAATTTCTAGCAAAATCTAGAATGCATCTGAATTACTTGTGACGTCTTAAGTTTTCTTGACCAATACCATTGGTAAGTAACTAAATTATATTTCTAATAATATTTGAATTGTGTGTGGTATGTTAATCCAATTAGTCCATACCATTTGCAAACAGTTAGATGAATATAGTAGTTGTAAGTTCAATAAGTAAAATTGTAGAAAATATATGGAGTTATTCCATGATATTTTGGCAAATGGTACAATTGTGGCGTAGATGAGTTGATGTATTGGCTAATATATCAAAATCCTAAAGTGGAACGTTCACCTATTCGTAAGACAAAGGTGGAAAGGTCAAACAAGTCAATCTTGAAAGTATGAAGGTGTCCAACTGTTGGGATATGGATTAATATGCCTACACGACTATAAACGGGCCCAAACCCACCTCAAGGCGTCCCGGACCCAAGCCCACTCAAGGAGGCCCAAGCTCTATATAAGGAGGCCACAGCCTCCAACCCAAAGGGCTTCTCGAGCCCTTCATCATTTTTCCCCTAAGGTCTCTCTCTACTTTATCTCTCTACATACCATACATCCTCTCCTATATCGTACTAACTTGGGCGTCGGAGTGTAGATCCCGGGGGCTGCCCCCCGCCTCACAGGTTCTTCAACTCCCGAGGAGATCCGACGAAGGAGTCCAGATCGGAGCCCCATAACCGCCTAGTACATTCTAGGCTCAAACAATTGGAGCCCACCGTGGGGCAAAGATTCTGGCACTCCTTTCGTTTGATTTCCAAAAGAGGGGATGAAACCAAACCTCAAGCAACGGCAGCAGCTGCAGATCAAAAGCAAGAGCCGCCGGGCAGAATAAAAATGAAAATGTCCCGGATCTACTTCTCTTTTATGAGAAACGAGGAACGGCAAGGATGGGCGGCGTGCAACTGGGGAGTTCATTCTTCGTTCCCTTCCCACAGTCCGAAAATCCCAGATCCAAGAACATCGCATAATATGCCAACCGAGAACAGTCTCAAAATCGAAGATTTCCTCCACCACGACTGCACTTCCTTCCCGGTACTCCTCACTCTCTTCTCTATCCTTCAGGTCAATCGGATGAGTTCCAGATCCGGTCGACAACTCGCCCAAACGACCGGAAACAACAGCGACCCTTCTACTCACTCGTCAACCCCAGCACAACCTGTCATCGTCCCTGCTCGTCGTCCAGCTTCTCATCACCGCCAGCGAAGACGTCTTCTTTGCTCCGCTGACTTCTGCCACCTCAAGCAAAAACTGTATGTTGTAGGAAACTCACATCACCTACTAATCCAACCTACAAAACAAAGAAGACGGTCAAAGAAGCTTAAATAAAGAAGCTGAATCTCCCATGGACAACTGCGAATCAAAGGAAGGGAGCTACCCAAAAGAAGATACAGGTGGAAGCTATAGCAAAATCTCCAAGTTCTGATCGCCGGAGGTGAATTCCGGCCCCCGTCAAGAAGCTCAGGCGAGCAATCAACATCAACACTATGACAGGCTGTTGTCACATCCCTTTCTCCTTCTCTTACTCAAAAAGTAGATTATGTTGCTACAGTGGGAGTCACTTCAATGCCATTTTCTTTCTGTGTCAGAAAAAGCAAACGGGAGAGTATCAAGACAGCGAAGTTATCGAGGAAGCGCCTCAAAATAGAAGACGCAAAGCTGAATGGGAGGAACGCCTTCAAAAAAAGATCGGCTGCACTTGTACCGCCGCATGCAATGGAAAAGGTAGTAAGGCAAAAGATGAAGCTTGAGGGACCAAGTGGTTAGGTTACGCATCTTATAAAGTCCACCAACAAATCTTCCAGGCAGGGACTCCCAAGGGCCAATACTATGGTGTCGCTATAAAAAGTGCGGCACCGGTGACGCTATAAAAAGTGCGGCACCGGTGACGCAAATTTTTATTGGGCCATGTGGAAGTGACGTGGCATAAATTGGGTGGAATGAATACACTTCAAACACATTGGTCTACGAGACTGCCCAAACCGCCGGTAGACCAACCAGACGGAAAATCTCTCCATCATCACCTGATTTTCACTGCATTTAACTTTCTCCAGGAACCAAACAAAAAAAAAAAAAAAACGAAAATGTAATCCCATAGTCCAACTTCCCCTGCCCTCTTTCATGCTCTCCCTCTCCGGTTGACTGTGTAAGAAATTGTGTTTCGGCGAACCTGTCCACCGCCGATGCAACCTCCTATACAACCTCTCCGATTCACCGCCACTAAATTCCTTCACCGCCTCCGCTATACGGCCGCGATGGTCGATGGAGACAGAGGCTTGCGAAGAGGACAAATTCCTTTGCCTCTGTTCTACAGAAAATGTAGGACAGTAGGGGGAAACAGTGACGGATTTCGGAGATGGGAGCGAACAACAGACAAGTCGCCGGAGTGATTTTGGAGAAACCGTCGGAGAAGGAAATCGAGGAAGTGCACTTTTGGTTTGTCGTCGATTTCCTGTTTTCTGATTTTTCGAAAAACAAAACTAGTTTTAATTGTAATTAACAAAAGGCAAAACAGTTTGCAAAGAAGAAGAAAAAAACAGAATAGGGAGTTGGACGGAGAAGGGTTCTCCGTTGATATGGGAATGGCGGGTTGGGTCAGAACGTATGAGTCAATGGGTTTGGATCGGATTTATTCCACACAGCTCATGCCACATAATATTACACGTGGACCAATCAAAATTCGCGTTACCGATGCCGCACTTTTTTTAGCGGCACTGTAGTATTGGCCACTCCCAAGAAGCAACCGCGTCCCAACTCAACGGGCCCACCAAACAAGTCAAACGTATTTCGTTGGCCCGCCTCTCGTACACCTACACCTTGTCAACATCCAGCCACCGCCAGACCACCGAGGCTCATTTTCCACTAACAGCCCGCGCCAACAAAGCCTCCAGGGAATCTTCCGCGTAACAGGGCCCGCAGATGCAAAGTATCAGGCCCGACTCCAGCTCGTGGTCCACCATCAATCAGATCCGCGTCCGTCAAACGGGCCCACGACAACGCAGCTCGCTTCGCCTCCATCTCCAATAAAGCTTCAGAGCCGTTTCACAAAATAAAACGCTTCTCTCCGGAATCGAACCAGGGTAGGCGTCACACCCCACTAGCATGATGACCAACACACTACAAGGGAATTTGTGATCAATCTATCAATGCTTTATATTTGAAGTAAGCACCTGGAGATTCAAGCTACCCATCCCACAATGCGGTCTTGCCACGCATTAGAGGCCCGCCCAAGACCGTTCTGCTTCCAAAACTCATCACGTTTGGCCCAATAAGGGAGTCCGACCGCCTCCATCTTGTCAGCACTGCTCGTCTCCAACTCGGCCGCTACCACCACCAACCTTTTGCCTCCAACGGCACAGCAAAGTAGGACCCAAGATAAGGCCCGCTTACCACGAACCGCCAACAGGCCCAACCGCATCCAATCAGTGGAGCACCATCATTCAATCAGGCCCGCCTCGCGACCAACGCATCACACAAGTCCGTCCCACCTTCCCAACTCCCGACCGCTCAGCAGTCTCGGCTTTGAAATCCAGCTCGACGCATTGGCCCGCAAACGCCTTCAACAAATTTGAAGCCCAGCTCGGCTAACTTGGGCGTCGGAGCGTAGACCGCGTGAGATCCGACCCCCACCTTCTTCAGCCCATTTCCGCAGAGCAAAGACCACCTCGTCCTACCTCGATGAGCCCACCAAATACGTCAACCGTCCATGGACTCAGGCTGGTCCGCCAAGCACGGCCCAAGCTTCAGTGGCCCACGCCTCATTAAAAAAGATTTAAGGAAAGGAGACCAATAATATGAACTATGATTAGGGGTCTACATGAATCAGGGTGAGTTAGTATTGAACCCTCTCAACCATACAACTCATAAGCCTTAGGTCAAGTGATGCAAGACCCAAATCAAATTATAAGACACATAAATCCATGTGTTTCGGGTGATGCGTAGGTCGAATTGGATTGATACTAAACATGTCTATACATTAACCAAATAGGGTTGAACCTCAGTTCAGTTTATGTTAATCAAATCGAATTGGTTGGTTATCCAAAATAGAATTATTGTCATTTTAGCAATTGTAATTGCTGTAGTTGTGGTTACTTGAGTTCCAAATATTATGATTTTTGGTTATGTTGCAGTTAACCGCGTTCAACTAGTTAACGTAATTGTCATTCTTTTTGGTTTAGGTTACCTAATGGGTAGGCCATTGGGCTTTGGGGTAGTTTAATTTTACGACTATTTGGGGCTTTTGTTTTGCAGTTTAGTGCGCATTTACAACAAACATCAAAGATTACCTAAAACCAAATCTGCAACTATTTTATTCTTTCATTTTATTGTTCTCGATTAACTATTAATAGTAAAATTCGAATCCAACTACCAGAACCAAATTTCTGCCCTATAACCAAATACTCCCTGCGGCATAGTCGCGGGTAGGGATGGCAATTTACCCACCCATGAGTATTTTTGCCCAAACCCATTTATATCCATTTATATGGGTTGGGTATGGATTTATTCTATATGGATTTGGATAATGTATGGGTAGGTGGAGTTGGGTTTGGGTTTTATTTTTGGGTATGGATTGGGCTTGGGTACCCATCTCCTTGGACCCACCTGTATATTTTTTTTTTATTAGGTGTTAAAATGTAAAGCAAAATTTTTAATGTACTAAAATATAATTTTCCACATATGATGTTGAACCTATTTGTATCTTCTTAAAAACTTCAGGTACTAAAATGTAACTTTGGCCAAGTCCAGCTGCTTCGCCGGTGCCGAACGCTTCGCCGGTGCCGAATGCCGGTCTACACCCCGCCGTCGCCGATATCCTCGAGCCTGTTTACACCCCGCCGGCCGCCGGTGCTCTGCTCGCTGTTCCCCCTCAACTGGGTCGGGAATCGCCACGGCTTCTCCGAGCCCTTCTCGGCGTTCAGGTTACAGAGCTCTGGGTCGGGAATCGCCACCGCCACTGTCGCAGCAGGGGATGCTGATGAACACTCCTCCGGGAAACGTCACCACCGAAGATTACGAAATTGAAGGAATGCCCATATGGTGCACTCTACTGACCACAAGCAGGAGTAACAACAATGTCGTCCTGCCGCTGTACACCGTCGAAGACGAAGAGAGCGTCCATCCTTCTCAGAACCCTCTCTGCGATCGATGCAAATGCACTGGTAAGCAAACCAATTAGATCCCCTTCCTTCCTTCCTCTTCCTCTGCTTGTAGTTCCATTTCTTGGCTAAATGATCAAATGGGTCCCCATAGCTTTCCGCAAAGGAATCGCGAATTAGTTAGTTGAGGGGGAATTTCCTATTTTGGATAGATAAGCTGCAAAATGGGTCTCTGTATCCGTAATCCATTTCGATTCTTGCGTTCTTGATATCTCAAGCTGCAAGTCGGCAAATCTTCTTTGTTAGTTAATCGATTATGCTCACCATTGGGTTGCAGGTTGGTGCAACAATATTGTTTCCAAGAGAAAGTATCACATCATAATCCCAGTCCACAGCGACTGGAACAGAAAACTAGAAGAAGGAGCACTCGATCTCGAATCCCATCTCCAGGTGCTGGAAAGTTCAAGGAACAGAGGAATCACATAAGCAGAATGCTAATGGGTTTGCAGTAATGGAAGTTGTGGATTTAGGAACCTCCTGCTGCAACTATCCCAGGAGAAAACACAGAATGTAGTTCTTTCTTTATTCAATTCGTTTGGGTCTCAGCAAGAGTTATGCTTACTGTATTCACCCGACCTTGTTTAATGCTTTTGAAGACTGAAAGGGCAAGTTATATGGGGATATGGGCAACAGAGCCAAAATCTCTAAATTGCAGTTGTGCATTCAGTTACTAACAAGGTTCATCTCAGAATGTGATCAGTCTTCTTCCCTTTACTCAGAGATCTTTAAGAAGGTTGGACTATACCAGTCTACTAAGTGTTTTATGCTATGTTGATGACTAGTACAGTCTATAACATGCATCTAAAATCATTTACCTGGAGGACAGTCCCCAGTTATGAACATAGATATAGTTCTTTGATCTCACATTGTTATCTGCTGCTGCTGCTACTGTGTTTTAGCAAATTCATCAGTCGATCATGATAGTTGTTTGGAATATAGAGGCAATTTCACCAGTTCCAGATTGTCCAGATATTACAGACTTGATTAGCATGTCGATAGTCATCCTCCATAGGAAAGCAATCAAGTTTTCTTTTTTCTTTTTCTAGCAGTCACTCTGATTATATCAACTACAAAAACTAGCCGAGATACACACTGAACAAAAGGAAATCATTGGTTCTGTACTCTTCAACAAGAGCAAAGTTGGAACCTAAATCTTTCATAGAAAACAACTGTCCTAATAATAACTTAGATAGATAACTTCAGATTCCTCTTCTCTTCTTCTTTCCTTGTATGCAATCGATACTGATCCAACGGCGGCAGAATCTGATAGAACCCAGCGTAGCAGTCTCGCTCCTGTACGGGTAATTGGCAGTAAGGACCGGCAAGAAGAAGAAGAAAAACAGAGTGCCAAAATTTCCGTATCCGAAGAAGAAGAAAATCGAGCATCAAAAATCGGCAAGAAGAAGAAGAATTCGTTCACAGTTCACACCCGCAGAGAGAACTGGGGACGATGGAATTCGTTCACAGTTCAATTAGCAAAACCCAATTAGTCAATTACCTGGATTAACTACTCTCTTTCAGAAACTCGAAGCTTGGTAGCACTGGGCGCGGCGACGTCGGAGCTAGTGGCAGTGGCCGGGGCGGCGACGAAATCGGAGTGGGTTTCTTATCTTTGGTGGCGCCGATGTGATTCAGTGGTCGGACTCGGAGGGGATGCCGAGATCGGAGGTGGCCGGGGCGGCGACGTTCGAGCTAGTGGGAGTGGCCGGGGCGGCGACGTCGTGGCCGTCTCTGTTTGCTCAGCGGGCTCGTCGTCGACGAAGGATGGGTAGAGAGGAAGCGAGAATGTCGAGTCTCTCGACTGAGTTGGAACTCGGAAACGAAGAGATTGTCAGATTGTTTTATTTTCTTTTTAGTTTCAATTTTTTTTTTAATTATTTGGGTTTGGATTTTTTAATCCAAGTTGATGGGTAAAACCCAAGTAAACCCAACATAATGGGTATGGGTATTGGCCCATCTGACTTTACCCATTTACACTTTAATTGGATTTCAGACCCAACCCAAATGGGTTGGATAGTTATAAACCCATGGGTATGGGTATAATTGACAAGCCTAGTCGCGGGTGTTGATTTTAATACATAATAACAAAAACGATATTTTGAGTTTGGTTTTGGGACCAGATGTCCGAACCGAGCCAATTGGTTGTTCATCAAGAAGTTACGGCTAATGACAGAAGCTTGAGAGTTTGTATATATATGGTTAAACGCCCTCGTAAGTGTCACCTGATATTCATATGCCAAAGTGAGAATTCTTGTCCTCTTTTGTTACAGAAATTATGCTTCCTAAAAACGGTTTGAGTTCTCATTACAATCCCTTTCCCTTAACTCAAACTGCAAAAGAAAACAGCAGCTGCCTGCAATAGAAGAAACAACTAAAACGAAAGCGGAAACCAAACCAAGCCCCCATTCTACTAAAACGATTTCTCTGTTTGTCCTTCGTCTGTTCCTTTGGTTGTTGCCGTTGTTCCAATCAGTAAGCCTCTTGCTCTCCCTGAAAGACAGGACCCAGAAATACTTAACATGAAGCAAAACGAAAAACACAAAAAACAAAAAAAAAAAGAGTTAAAAGTTCGTGCAGGCGTTGTTGAATAACATGAGAAGCTTTGCTTACTTTCTTGTTGGTAACGAACTGCACGAACTTGCTCTTGCCCTTGGCGCCACTGCCCTTGTTAGTGAGATGTTTCCTGATGTGCGCCCTCACGAACCGCTCATACAAGAAAGCTGCCCCTTTGAACTGCGGCAGAACCAGCCACGCCGCCAGCACCAGCTTCGCCGTGTACCATATTGGAACCCTAAGCGACAACAAACGGGAAACAAAGCACGGGATCAGAATCAGATGTCGAAGAAATTTACAATTGATCCACGATTCTTGAAAGACGAATTGTACCACTCGAGAACGGATTGAAGCAGCATCTCGGAGAGGGTTATGAAGGAATAGATGATCCAATAAGCAAGCCACTGCTCATCGTCCTCCTTACCAGGGCTCTCTATCGCCATCACTGACGCATACCTAACAAATTAGTTCCCCATACCCACAAGTCATTTTCAATTGAAACTGTTATAAACGCGCAGCTAAAGATCGAAAAATCGCCGGAATCAATAAAACAAGAATACAAAAAACGAGAATAGAAAAACACAGACAAACGGTTTACGTGATTCACTAACACAATGTGTGTTAGCTAGTCCACGGGCGAGAGAGAGCCAGTTTCACTATATCGAGGAGATTACAAATTACAGAGAAGTATGAGAAGTACTCTCCATGTGGGTCTAAAGCTAATCCAATCTGACAAAGGAACGATTACAGACCAAGCTCAGAACCCGACTCGCTGATCGGGCAGCTAGACCTCCGAATATCAACATAAACATAAACCCATCTTTGACACAATTTTTAAAAGGACAGAATTAACAGAGTTGACCAGTAGGGCAGGGTACTCCCAACTTACAGAGGGTAAAGCAGCATCGTAACCGGCCTGCAACGAAAGGGATAAAAAGGGTAGAGGAAGCATCGGATCAATATACAGGCGGATCAAAAACCCAGAAACTATCCAAGGGGGATAAAAGATGGGGACATTAATTACCCAGCAACCACGTGAACGTGGGTGAGGAAAGTCCAGAAACGACTCATCTCTTGAATTCTCGAAGCAGGCTACAGACAAGGAGAATTGGAAGAACAAAGGAAAAGCTTATGTGGGTTTTCAAGGTAGGAGGAGAGGAGAGTAGAGCGAAGGAGTGAAAAGTTGCTGAAAATCTCGAGAGTTGAGTGTATGCTGCGAGATGGAAATGAACCCTGTTTTTATACAAGAAGAAGAACCACTACAGAGAGACGAGGGCACGTGGCGGAAGATGAGCTGCAGAGGGTAGTATCATATTCTGCCTTCAATTGGTGGAACCGCCCAGATTGGGTTCAAATTCTGTTTTATCAAACAAAATGAGGACCCAAAACCCAAAAAGGAGACAAATTGAATTGAGGCAACCGTCTGATCCTTCGTAGAGCGGCATCGTATCAATCTTAATAGTTTGTTGATTACTGAATGGCACTCTGCTATGTGCAATTAATTGTCTTTTCTTAATTGAAATTTGGGTTTAATTCTTTATTTGGGATTTTGTCTTTTTCCTCGTGGTGGAGCCACGCGTTCACGTTATTTCATTGACAAGGACGGTGAAACTGAAACCCGTCTCGACTTGTCCCAGGGCGGTCATGTCGACACATAAGACAAATAACTTTCTGGCCCAACCGAAACCCGAGTTACCTGTTTTTTTATTTTTTATCAAACCTGATTGGGCCGTTGTCCAATTAAGCTCTTTTCTTAACAAATGCTACGTGAACTTTGAAGCCCAAGCTTAAGCCCGAACTAGTACAATTTTCAACTCATAACCTTCACTAATCAATCCCCAAAAATCTACTCAAATCTCTCCCGGAAAAGCTTGGTTGCATTGCATCCTACTATTATTATCATGTATATAATCGTCCTACAGTCTTGGTATGTTCATACAACCATGTTAAGTATATTCATACCACCATGATAAGCTTTTTTCATACCATATGATAGTTACATTGCATCCTACTATCATGTATACAATCATCCTACAGTCTTTGTATGTTCATACAACCATGGTAAGTATGTTCATACCGCCATGGTAAGCTTTTTCATATCATATGATATGCTCTTATTTAATACCAGTCAATACCATATAGTATATACTGGTAAAAAATGAATCAATTTTTTTTTGTTCAAAAAATATATCAAAGTGAATATCATTTTGAAAAACACCATTAATCTAATCTAATTGTGCAAAAAAATTTAAATTCTGACTTAAAACGAGTGAGAAATCGTCCGTTAAAGATTAAGAAAAAAAATTAAAGGCTTTATAGGAGAGAGAAGGGACGTTGACGTGGCGAATGATTATTGTGTTATGCATGGTTACTCACTATAAGATTATGCATAGGACCTGCTCCCTTAGGCTATCCTCAACCCGTAGGCTAAAATAGCATTTTGCCTTTTTAGCTCCCAAAAATTTCCTTCAACCATGGGGCGAAAGAGGCGGTTAAATGGCTATATTGGATTTTTTGGGAAAAAATCTCACTGTACACATGTTTTTAAAAAAAAATCTCAAAATACACACGTTATGAAAAAAATTCCCAATCTACGCATGTTTGGGTATTCACCGCGTCAGACCAAGGCGGTGATTGCATCACCGCAGTAAAGAAGAGCGGTGATTGCATCACCGGTGTAGACAAAGACGGTGATAGCTTCACCGCATTAAACGGCCGCGGTGAAGGCCTAACCTGCGTCGAAACTTTAAAAAAACGTAACTTTGTGCTCGGTTATCCGATCGTGGCGAAATTTTTTTTGATTCCGCATAATTTTTTGAGATCTTGCAAGCCGCAAACCGCCGCTTTGGTCCCGCCTTCGTCTCGAAAAAACGTCGTTTGCTACCCCGAACGAGCCTTTTTTCTATTTCGTCAAACTTTGAACGACCATAACTTTGTGCTCCACAATCCGAAAATCATGAATTTTGTTTTGATTTTTTTATTTCGCATAAATTTTTAAGGACTACAATTTTTAGTAGGAGAGAATTTTCAAAAAATGAATTATTTTTGGATATACGGGGTTTTGGGAATAAGTTTACCTTCCCTTTTCAGGAATTCAAGTACATTCCGAAATTATGTCTATGATAAAATTTGTAGTCCTCAAAAAGTTATGCAAAATAATAAAAAATTCATGATTTTCGGATTGTGGAGCACAAAGTTATGGTCGTTCAAAGTTTGACGAAATCGAAAAAAGGCTCGTTCGGGGTAGCAAACAACGTTTTTTCGGGACGAAGGCGAGACCTAACCACCTTCGGCAATTTCGCCACGATCGGATAACCGAGCACAAAGTTATGTTTTTTTAAAGATTTGACGCAAGTCAGGCCTTCACCGCCTTTCTCTAGAGCGGTGATGCAATCACCGCCTTCCTCTACAGCGGTGATGCAATCACCGTGCTTCTCTCATGCGGTGATTACATCACTGCTTTTCTTTAATGCGGTGATCCAATCCCGCCTTGCTCAGACGCGGTGAAGGCCCAAACATGCGTAGATTGGGAAATATTTTCATAACGTGTGTATTTTGAGAATTTTATTTAAAAACATGTGTACAGTGGGAAATTTTCCGGATTTTTTGGGGTAAAATGGCTCTACCTTGAGTGAGGCAAAAGTGGATGGCAAAAATGACGGGGACCAAATGCTGAAAAATTTCCTTCTTCTTTTTTTAATTGTTTTGTTTTATACTATTAGTTGTGTTCTATTGTTTTTATCTAACGAAGACTATTTCTATTGAAATTTCGACCATTCAAAGTCTATTTGAAGAGGAAAGAATAACAATCAAACAAACTCAAATCTCAAACATACTCAAACAAACTCACACTTAAAAAAAATCATTTCGTTGTTCAAATTCTTGAAAATTTTGATAGACAAAGTTCCTTCTGGTGTAGCTTTTGTCAATTTCAACGAAAACAAAAGTATCTCGGAAATAACTCAAATTTTATCAGAATGTTCATATCAAATTATCATGAACAAATATATAAAATTTACATTAAAAAATATAAGTTTAACTATTACTAAGTTAGGATTACTAAATATGAAACATAAGATTATAGCCCTCGGGTTGCAGCTGTTTATGTTTTCGAGAGGGCTAAAAGGCCTTTTAGCCTTTAGACCCCAATTTTTTGGCCCCGGGTTGTGGTTAGCCTTAGACCATCTAAATGGAGTGCTAAAAATTAGAGCCAAAGTGCTAAATTTGGCACTCAATAAAGTGTTTTCCCTCCAATGGAGTAGAGCCAAATGCCAAAGTGCTATATTTGTGATTTTTTATTAGTTAGTTTATTGTACATTTTATTGATTTATTTATATAATTATAAAATTATTTTTATATAGTTAGTCATAATTAATTAAAATGAACATTTTGATGTATTTTTTTAATTTTGATATATTTTTTCCGATGATAAATATTTACAATTGAAGTATGTGGTGATATTTGTAGAGAAAATTTGAAAAATATAGCTGTTGGGAAAAATTGGTGGCTGGTGGCACTGGCGGATACATGGACCGGGACACCCCTAAAATTTGGAGAACTATTATCCAATCCCCGGTTGTAGTTTTGTATGGAAAAACAATTATAATTGGTAATCCGGGACACCCTTAAAATTTGAAAAAAATGATTATCCTACTCTTGATTGTAGTTTGTGTAAGATTAAAAGAATTTACATAGTAGTTTGTGTTATTCAAACCTAGGACACTACTATTATTAAACATATTCTGTAGGTTTACAACTCATTTCTTGTTCTATTTAAACACTATGAAATAGTAAAAACATTATTCCTTATCCCCAACTATTTTCAAAACCTAACAACTAAACCAATTGTGGGCTATCTTTAATTTGAATTGATTTTATAATTACACGACAAGAGTTAAAAGAGTCTTTCAACTTTGAGTTACATAAAGAACAAGGTTAGAATTCGAATATGTGATCAGTTCGTGAATTATTGTCTAGTATGATATATAGATTTGTTGAGCAGTGAAGACGTCGAGTATATTTTATATTCTTTTCAGAATATGAAAACACGTCGTGGCCTTTTGTTAAAATTTGTATTAGTCATGTCTTTTCTTATATATGAATTATTTAATTTAATTATTAATTATTAATTTCTTAAAGAGGACACGGGCTGGTGGAGAAGTTTTTCAAGGGGGACTAATATGCAATTTGGTTATTAAAAAAGGGCAAATACCACTAGGAAACCCGAACTATCAAGAATGTGTCATTTGTGTCCTAAAGTATCCAATATGACATTTGTGTCCCAAACTATTTTTCCGTTAGAATTGACCGGCGTTGACCGTTAATTTTTAACAGAAAGCCTAGTCAGCGCTGAGGTGGTATCTGAAGTGGAATTTATAATTATTTCTCATATAAGAAAAGAAAATGAAAAAAATTACAAAAAGAAAAAACATAAACATAAACTAATTGATTTGAGAATTTACCCTTCCCTCTCCCGTCTCCCAACCTCTACCGTCGATTGTAAATCGATTTGGGGATTTACCCTTCATTGGCGGAGATGGCGGCCACTCTGGTATGGGCCGTAGACTCTGATGATGGCGATGGTGGGCTTCGAGAGTTGGAGACAGAGTAGGTAGCGAGGAGGCGGCAGATGCGGCCGAGCATGTCGGGGGCTTCCTGGTTCTTGGTGGGGAGCTAGGCAACGATCATTCGAGAAGATCTGATATCGTCGTCACTCGTTTTCCTCTTCCTTCTCCTCCTATCCTCTCTACAATCCTCCGCCGCTTACTCCTCATCGTCGTCATCATCCTTCCCCCATCGATGTTCTTCCCGTAGCGGCTGACTCAGCTCACCGGCGTCATCATCCTCCCCCATCGACTTCTCTGTTGGGGTCGCCTTGGCGAGCTTTGGGATCGAGCGTGAGTGAAGAAGGAGCAAGCTGCGGATTGGTCCGCGAGAGTGAAGAAGGAGCAAGCAAACCTGCCAGGAGACCTTTTTTGTCCTCGATCTA